CCCTATCATGTGAGTAGCATCCGCCAAGGAGAAAAAAACAGCCCATACAGAAATAATGTTACTTGGAAGTCTTTCTCTCTGCATCCAATTACACCAGCATCAGGATGTACTGTCTAATTCTCTCTGTCCGGTCTTCATCCTAGTGTAAGAGGCTTGGGAAAGATCAGGAGCTGGTTGCTGAGGATGGTGCAACTTAATTGTGGGATGAGGTGGTAGTTTGGCTCTTCCGTGAAGCCACTGTTGTCAGGTCATGCTGTGTTGGTGGTCGAGAGAACCTGTGATGGTAATTCAAAAGAAATGTAATATGTATCTATTTTGAGATAAGCTTAGTAACAGAAGGTTGGAAGTACTCTTTATATTTTACCTGTGGATTCGTTTCTCACTGCCATAAGTAATATTTAAATTTATCAGCAATAGCAACAGCAGCTACAATAGTCATGTGACTTAAAGTTTCTGTTATTTTTACAATAAGGAAAGATTCCAAGAAGAGTTGGCCACTTATTCTTTAATATTTAAAAGCTCTTATGTTTATACTTGAAGTATGCTTTTTATAGCTCTGATATTCTGCAAAATTTATATTTATCCCTGTTTGTAAATTACTGAACACTGATCAATAAATTCATGAAACTACCCTTAATACTGCACTATGAGTTGAATCTAATCATTCATGTATTCAACCACCAATGAATGTTTCTTTAAGAAAAATTTCTCATATTTAAAGAAATGTTCAATATCCTTAGCACTGAGGGAATGTTGGGCCAAAAATTATCTCAGGGCCTGTACCTTGAGGCCTGTGGGACAGAGAAAAGCCTGGCTCAAGTTTGAGGGAATCGAGTGAAGATGAGACAGCAAAATCTAGGTAGATGTCCCTCCAGCCAGAGGGAGGACTTGGCTGTCTCTCATTGGCTGGAGGCACCCCCCCCCCATCACAGCATGTCACCTAATCTATATAAGCTGGCACTCACAGTAATAGACTGAGTTCCTGATTTGACTTGACTCCTTTTTGCATCTGATTGTCCTGCACCGTGGGATTGCAGGTGGGTGGATAGTGCACTTACCTCTCCCTGGGGAAAAAGGAGGCTAAAGATGCCAAGCAAGAGAAATGCAAATCAAAAGTACTTTGAGACTCCATCTTACATCTGTCAGAATGGTTAAGATCAATCACACAAGGGATAGCTTATGCTTGAACCAACACCTGTCCTGCCTGCAAGATGTGTAAGGGAAATGGTGGCCCAGAGCCTGTGGGAGTGGTCAGCTTACTGGCTGGATTTGTGTGTCACCTTAACACAAGCCAGAGTCATCAGACAAGGAGTCTTAGTTGAGGAAATGCCTCCATGAGATCCAGATGTAAGGCATTTTCTCAATTAGTGATCAATGGTGGTGCCATCCCTCGTATGGAAATTTTGGGTTTTATAAGAAAGCAGGCTGAACAAGCAAGGGAAAGCAAGCCAGTAATCAGCACCACTCCATGGCATCTGTATCAACTTCAGCCTCCAGGATCCTGCCCTGTTTGAGCTCCTGTCCTGACTTCCTTCGGTGATGAACAGAACTGAATAGATCACTGTCTAGTCCACTGATGCTTATCAGAGATGCTTCCTGTGGAAGCTGATGGGAGCATATATAGAGACCCACACCCAAACATTAGGCAGAACTTGGGGAACCCAATGAAAAAGGGGAAAGAAGGATTGTAGGAGACAAAAGGATAAGAAAATCCAGGAGAACATGGCCCATGAAACAGGCTGGACAATAGGTCTCCACTTTCACTTCTCTCTGGCCCCTAGAGTTTTTGTGTGGTAAATTGTTGGGGAGGGGTAGATTTTAAGTTCTGTTACCCTAGAAGGCTGGACAATGAAGATTCTTCATCTGAACAGGGTGGCCAGTTGAATATTGCTAGCATATCCTACCATCCTTATGTCCTTAAAGAGGTAGGAGTGAGGTCTAGTCAGTGTCCATCAGTCTATTTCCCTGCCACACTCATCACACAGATGTCAATCTCAGCAGCACTGAGCAACTTCTGAATCACCTGTGATCTCTTCAAGAGTGAGAGACACAGGTTAAGAGTGGTAATTTATGTCTCTTTTGGAAACATTTCACTGGGGAAACAAAATACTCTTAAGGGTAGGACACGTTCATAGCAGTAGATGGCTAACAGAAAATACTCAATGGCATGCTGGGAGATTCCTTGTCTCATAATGTCATGCTGGAAATTTTTCTTTTTTAAATTTAATTTTTATTTTTAAAATTTTCCCTCCACCACAGTGTGTATATCTTATAGCTTCTAGTTATGTGTTTTTATGGGATACCTGAGTGTGCAAACAAGTGTGTCTCTGTATCTATTCTGTTTCTTATGACTTTTCTTGGGCTCTTTTTCTCATGTTCGCTTGTTTTGTCCTATTCTGACGTGTTTGTTTTTATTTTATCTTATTTTATTTCATTAGTATCTTTTAGATGCATGGTTGTTTTCTGATAAAAGACAGAAAGAGGGAGTGGATCCAGACGGGAAGGGAGGTGGTGAGAAACTGGGAGGAGCAGAGGGAGAAGAAACCATAATCAAGATAATTTGTATGAAAAAAACCCTCCATTTTCAAAAAGAAAAAAGAAAGAAGAAAAAAAAACATGGGAAAGACTTTGGAAAACCAACACTCCAAGACTAAAACAAACGCAGAACAGATTTCTGGTTCTCCCAGGTAGTCATAGGAGAGAAATGTTTAAATTATTTTGGTTTCATTTTCTTGAGATTTTTAAATACATTTTAAAATTACTGCATGTCATTGCATTTAGTTGTCTCTTACAAGATTCAAAATTATTTGATATTGCATGTGAACACATATTAATTAAAAGAAAATTTTGACTAATGATATAAATTATAGAATTAATCCTAACTGTAGATATGTTACAGTTTTTAAAAATTACACACATAGGATGCAAAATAAACAGAATGCCTAGCCTTCCTGCTGAAATTGTGTTACGTTGGCAGGAAATAAGATCTACTCAATCAGTTAAAACATTTAATGGGTGAAAAAAAACAGACAGTACAAAGACACATGGAATGGGAAGGTTTGGGTCATCTTTTTATTTTATTATTATTATTATTGTTTTTTCGAGACAGGGTTTCTCTGTAGCTTTGGAGCCTGTCCTGGAACTAGCTCTTGTAGACCAGGCTGGCCTCGAACTCCCAGAGATCCGCCTGCCTCTGCCTCCTGAGTGCTGGGATTAAAGGCGTACGCCACCACCGCCCGGCTTGGGTCATCTTTTTAAACAATTCATTACAGATAGTAAAAAAACACCAGCTTTATCAAAATTCTTTATGTCTTTAAACTTCACCAACAGCAAACTCTCATTCGAGGGTTACTCAAACCCAGGCATATCAAGCAGAATCTGAAAGGAAGTTAAATCCTATGCTCACTGATTTTAAATGGAAAAACCGTGAAGCACACTGCGGAGCCTGGTCCTCTTAGCAGACACCTGCTCTAAAACACAAAGTTTTGCTTCTATGCTGTTTGTCCACCAGGTGTCAGCCTCACCCAAGAAAATGCCAAGATGTCCGTGAAACCCTGCTCCCCCTCACAAGCCTGAAGTCATTCAGAATAATTAAATTTCAGAATCCAAACATATCAGACTTGTCTGGCCTGTTCAGATCTACTGAGAAAGAAACCGTGAACCAAGTCCCAGATATCTGCAATTTTTCAAGACGTTCGGGATGTTCTGGTATATACACAAACTGAACACCACTCACTAAGAGAACTATTTTCTAGCTCCATCTGTGGAATTAAAAAAATAGCTATTTGTTTTTCTTTGGGTTCACCTTCTTATTTAGCTTCTCTAGGATCATGAATTATAGGCTCAATGTCCTTTATTTATGGCTAGAAACCAACTATGAGTGAGTACATCCCATGTTCCTTTTTTTGGGTCTGGCTTACCTCACTCAGGATAGTGTTTTCTATTTCCGTCCATTTGCATGCAAAATTCAAGAAGTTATTGTTTTTTACTGCTGAGTAGTACTCTAATATGTATATATTCCATACTTTCTTCATCTATTCTTCCATTGAAGGGCATCTAGGTTGTTTCCAGGTTCTGGCTATTACAAACAATGCTGCTATGAACATAGTAGAGCATATACTTTTGTTGTATGATAAGGCCTCTCTTGGGTATATTCCCAAGAGTGGTATTGCTGGGTCCAGGGGTAGGTTGATCCCGAATTTCCTGAGAAACCACAACACTGCTTTCCAAAGTGGTTGCACAAGTTTGCATTCCCACCAGCAACGGATGAGTGTACCCCTTTCTCCACAACCTCTCCAGCAAAGGCTATCATTGGTGTTATTGATTTTAGCCATTCTGACAGGTGTAAGATGGTATCTTAAAGTTGTCTTGATTTGCATTTCCCTGATCGCTAAGGAAGTTGAGCATAACTTTAAGCGTCTTTAGCCTTCATCAGGCGATGAAAGGAGACAGAGACAGAGTCCCACATTGGAGCACCGGACTGAAACCCCAAGGTCCAAATCAGGAACAGAAGGAGAGAGAGCATGAACAAGGAACTCAGGACCGCGAGGGGTGCACCCACACACTGAGACAATGGGGATGTTCTATCGGGAACTCACCAAGGCCAGCTGGCCTGGGTCTGAAAAAGCCTGGAATAAAACCGGACTCGCTGAACATAGCGGACAAAGAGGACTCCTGAGAAGTCAAGAACAATGAAACTGGGTTTTGATCCTACTGCACGTACTAGCTGTGAGGGAGCCTACGCAGTTTGGATGTTCACCTTACTAGACCTGGAAGGAGGTAGGAGGTCCTTGGACTCCCCACAGGGCAGGGAATCCTGACTGCTCTTTGGGCTGATGAAAGAGGGGGAGTTGATTGGGGGAGGGGGAGGGAAATGGGAGGCAGTGATGGGGAGGAGACAGAAATCTTTAATAAATAAATAAATAATAATAATAAAAAAAGAAAAAAATAGCTATTGTACTGTGTGGTAGGTAAGTTCTGCTATTGATAGTCATACATTCTCATTGGGGAGAGGATGTGTCCGCATATTGAAACACTGACACACAGGCCAACTTACTTCTTGAGTCTTCTCCAAGGGAAGTGTGGTAGAAGTAGGGGTGCCCGGCTCTGGTGGGCAAGTGACACTCCTCCTCTTCTTCATTGTTGTTTTGTACCTGTGAACAAAATCTCCTCATAACTCAGACAGAGCAAGGCAAGGAAAGGTCCAGAGTAGGAAGGAGTTAAAAAAAGAAGGCTGAGGACTGAGTGTGTTCCAGAAGCATCCTTCTTGTGCTGTGTCAGACATCTGGTGGTCAGGTATGATTTATATAATGTCAATGAGTGGGAACATGCATTTGACTTTTATCATAAATGAGCACAGATTTCGTGTGGCAAGGATTTGAAAGCTTTTCCAAGTGATCCTGACACTTGATGTCAGTGCCATCTGTACATCAAGGTCAAAGGGATGCTCAGCTTTAGATGGTCCACAGGGGAAAGAACAGGCAAAAATAGATAGGGCAGTATCTGAAGCCTGAATATCCCCTCTCGAAGACTCTGGTTACCTAGAATCACAAAATGTCCTTGTCAAACACCCTAAGTTGTTTGCCTAGACCTGTATTGGTTTTGTTTGCCGTCTGTTCTTGCAAGAACCTCTTCACATCAGTATGTATCTATAGGTCCATGTTATGATTAATGAATGGCTAATTGTGTAGGAAAGGGCTTGTACTAGCTACATCATTTGCAGAGTTCACAAAAGTATGTGAGAAATCCTTTATGGTTCCAACTATACCAGATGTAGAAAGAAAAGGGTGCCAAGTGCAGGCTAGGAAGAAGCTCCACCCACAGCTAAATGGATACAACTTCTGGGTTTGAAACCTGGATGTCTAGATCTTAATGGTTCCCTATGTATATAAAACACACACCTTATTAAATAATCTGTAGCTTTGTATATAGCTAGTATTCAATTTCACTTATATGAAAAACACTAAAAATCATCAGTGCATACATGTTTCATGAGAAACTGAACCTCTTAAGAAAGCATAGCTCTTTCTTTTTCTATGTCTATACTAGCACACTTAACAAAAGTTTCTGAATATTCTCAAGTTGGGTTTATTTTGTCCAATAAGAACAAGATAATGGATTTGCTTTGCAAATCACTACCCCTTTATCTTCTGAGCAAAAATCCAGAGCTATTCACGTCCTGCTTTTCCCTCACCCCCAGGACACTCACCTGCTCCAAGTCAGAAGCACTCCCAAGCTGCTGAGTTAGAGATTGGTGTAGCTCATGTCTGGTTTGGCTCTGCTTTTGTTTCTTCTGGATGACGGACAAGTCCAGTGATTTAATCTCCTTGTCTGAGGGAGGACTTTGGAATAGGCTCTTTCTCACTTTGCTTTTCCTTCCCCATGAACTCTCATTCTCATCCGAGTAGGGCTTCTCCTCAATGGCCTGTAGACCCCACAGCTCTCTTACTTGTGTAGAGTCTGTATTGCATTGTGGACCTGCTCTGTCCAGAGCATGAACACAGCACTTGTCTCTCCGTGTTTCTTCTTTAGGGCAAAAAACACATGAAAAAGGAGAAGTGGACGGCTTCGTATTTTGTACTGGAGACACAGACTCTTCCTGAGGGACTTGTCCATTTCCAGAGCCTTGCTGGAGACCTAGCTTTTCTCCTTTCACTCTGTCCATCACTTCCCACACAACTTGGTCCAAACTGTTTCTTTTGGGGTTGTTGTGAAATGGTGCCAGGCGATCTCGGGAACCTGTATACAGGCACATTTTAGAGATTGCTTTCCGCAGACGTTCTCTGGGTGAGTGGGGTTCAGGCTCTGTATCCAGAATCCTGATGGATGGCATATCAGTTGGGTCACAAGGCCAGAACATGTTGGGTGGTGTGAACTTTTGGACGGGTGTCTTAGATACATAGGAGTAGAGACAGAAGAAAGCATCTGCAGTGACGGCCAGTGTTTGCACCTGCTTGAAGCGGCCTGAATACAAGGAATGAAGATTGTGACTTGAGGGGCTCATCAGCAAATCACATTTTTAATATATTCATTCAAAACCCTCCCCAGAGCTCTAATTTCAGAGAGAGGTACCAGTTGATCCACTGGTGATCCTCCAATATAGAATCAAGGCACCTAGAGACTCCTTTCTTGGCTTGAAAACTCCCAGTTGCCAGTAAAATAACCCCAACAGATTTTAAAGTGGGATAAAGATATGAGGGTTTTATGCTGATTTGATTCAGCGGAAGGACAAAAGACCTAAGCAAAACATTCATGGCCCTAGGTTTCCTGAAGACTGTTTCTTCAAAAGAGAAAAAGCAGACACCATAGCGCTCCATTTTTGGAAAAATATAAACGAGGATGGAACAAGGAGAGGACAAAGTTAACCAAGAGGAAAAGGGTGTGGAGCCATGTTACAAATGGAAGGAAGGTAAGGGAGAAGATCATGGATGGAGCTGAAGTAACACTCACTGGCCAGCATCAGGCAGGGATCCTCCATCTCAATCCTTTCCATCTGAGATTTCAGAAAGAGCTGAAAGTCAATGCCCTTGGCCTGAGAGGGGTTGGTGAAAAATCTTGCAGGGATACGAGACGTATCTTTGTGGTCCTCATGGCCAAAGCCCAGACTGAAGAGGACGTCTTCTGCATCTTCTTGTACCTGGTCCAAGATCTCTGAGATGCTAAAGAAAGAGCGTTTTGGTACATAAGACAATTTGGAGATAAACATGAATTCATAATATCTGTGTTGGTTTGAATAAGAATAGCCCTCACAGGCTCATATATTTAAATACTTAATCACCAGGCAATATTACTATTTGAAAAGATTAGGAGGATTAGGAGGTGTGGTCTTGTTGAAGGAAGCATGTTAATGGGGGAGGGGGGCTTTGAGGTTTCAAAAGTCCAGGCCAGGTCCAGGATCTCTCTCTCAGCCTGTGGATCAGGATGTAACTCCGGGCTACTGATCTAGCACCATGTATGCTGCCAAACTTTTCCATGATAATGGACTAAACTTCTGAAACTGTAAGTAAGATCCCAATTAAATGTTCTCTTTTATAAGAGTTGCCTTGGTCATGGTCTCTCTTCACAGCAACAGAGCAGTACCAAGGACAATATTTAATAATATTATCAAGACTAACATTTATTTCCTGGGAATTTCTCTATACTCTACCCTGGGCATTTCTCTGTTGAAAAGAGATTTTACTATTTGAACCTCATTTCTGTGTCTGAGGCATGGGGAGTATATCCCAGATATCTTTATAAAAAAGCTGTTAGCCTAGGGCTTTGAGCTGTTTGTACAGCTGGAAACAAATTTTAAAAAATATGGACATGCCTTGAAAATGAAGAGCAATATAGAGTCAAAGAAATATGCCTACATTGCTAACTTGTCAGTTCCCAATTGCAGGCTGCCATATATCTGGATTTGCCAGGTGCTTTGCAGTTTGTCTGTCACTGTATTTGCCTTAGAAGTTGTGTGAGACAACTAAACAATTAGTGCATAAAGAACATAGATCTTATAGTTTCATTTTGAACTTAGGTACATTCAATACCCGATTTAGAGAGGTGTCCCTCCTTCTGACATTTGTTCATCTAGAGAAATGCTATTTCACAGAAGACTAAGTACTACCCCTACTCTCATCACATATATGCTCCTTCTGGAACCATGTTGAATCTACTTGACACCTGTTTTCAATAACTATGTTTCAACAGTGGAAGCAAGGTGTGTGAAGTCCAGGCTATCACTATCATTCTTTTCAGAAAGGATGGTAGAATTTATTTTTTTTAGTCAAAACCAGGACCATTTTGTTAATTAGCAGCTGGATTGTGAAGTCCCTAAACCTGTTCTTGTGTTTCCAGCTCCATGTTCTTTTTATCTCCACCACTGTAGGTTTCCTCATCTATGAGTTACTGAAACAGATTTGCTTGATCTTTGCTCAGGAGCTGAGTGTTAGAATCACCTTGCTAAGCCAGCACAACCCCTAACTGAATTCTAAATATTTATCTTTATACCCACAAATAAGTACAGTCCTCATGCCTCATCAAGGAACTTCTCTTTGCAATAGAAGAAGTTAAAGGCAAGCACAACCAATCAAAATACAGAGTTTTGGAACCCAGTCCCTACTGATGTATCTATAACATACTTCCTATACCTAAAGACTCAGAGTAGAGCAGAAAACATTTCAGAGTTAGAGGAGCATGGAATTTTCTGTGAGATTCTGTCCCTTAGGAATGTCAAAAGTTACATAAAGTCTCACCTACATGGTTGCCTAAACAGAAGCTGAACAACAGCAATAGACATGAATGGAGGATAAATAATAAACATGGATAAATAATAAACGTGGATGGAGAGAAGCCCAGGAGTCCTGAATCCTACCCAAAAACTGTAGGCAACTAAAGAATGCCGAAAACAGGAGAAATAGTCTTTCACAAGGATGGACATACGAATTGGTTAACCAACATCAAATAATCTGTCCTGAAAACATACACAGAAGTGACATTATTCAGATTTTATTTGCATTTAGGAGCTCATACACATACACACACAACGACAATTAATAAAATAAAAGGTGTCGTGAATTTGAAAGAGATCAAGGATGTTGTGGGATAATACTATTCTACATTGTAAAGATTTGTCCCTCATATTAGTTTAATAGAATGCTGAGTGGCCAACAGCAAGGCAGGAAGGATACATGGCATGACCAGACTAAGAGAATTCTGGGAAGAGGAAAGGCAGAGAGTCAGTCACCAGACAGATGGGAAGGAAAGAAGATGAGCATGCCTTATTTAAAAAATACACTAAGCAATATGGCTAAACAGACAAGAATTATGGGTTAATTTAAGTTGTAAGAGATGGTTACAAGTTATAAGCCTGAGTTAATGATCAAACACAGTTTATAATTAAAATAAGGGTCTGTGTGTTTCTATGGGACTGAATGGCTGTGGGACCAGGCAAGATAGAAACTTCCATTTACACAGGAGTTGTATCTGGGGGAATTTATAGGAAGTAAAAATAAGGAGAAATGGTTTAATTACAATGTAATCACAAAAATAAAAGAATCATTAAAAAAATCTAGATACCTGTGATGGCTATTCATGGCTGTTAACTTGACCTCATCTAGAATCAATTAAAGTCCATAAATGGAGGGACATACCTGTGAAAAGGGTTTCTTTTTTATTTCTTAATTTGAAGTGGGAACACCTACTTCTAATCTGGTTCTTTGAGGTAGAAGGACACACCTTTAATCCATATCTTTTGAGCTGGGAAAACCCACCTCTAAACTGGGCCACACCTTCTGCTAGTATCCTATATAAACACAAGGAATAAGGAAACTTTTTCTCTTTGCCTGTCTGCTCTTGACTCCCTAGCAAGCTCATTCCTTCAAAGCATTACAGTTTTGGGATTCCAAAATATACTGGAAGTCAGCTGAGATGTCCAGACTCCTGGACTGAGAAACTACTTGATTCTTGGACTTTTCATTAATAGACAGCCTTTGTTGGATTAGCTGGACCACAGCCTGTAAGTTATTCTAATAAACACCCTTTCCTTATATAGGGAAATATTCATAATATAAGTTCTGTTTCACTAGAAAACACTGACTAATTTAATATCTGAATCCTACTTCTATACCTTCCCATTTAATTGAGTTCCACGTATGTAGGGTTAGTCCCCGTGGAAGTAAAATGTTAAGCCTAAGTATTATGACTTAAATTAAAACTTAGTCCCCAAATTTTTGACACTCTCATTATATTCCACTAATTCTTATCACTTTCTAACTTGTTTTAGATTTATTTGCATGTGTAACTTGTCCATTCTGTGGAATAATTGAGACCCTCAAGACAAACTCAGCTTTATCTTTGCAAGTTCTATACAGTCAATGCCTGGACTGAACAAGACCTTGCATTGCTTCTATCAACAAATTAGTTGATTACATAATACACACTGTTTGCTGAACACCTATTATACATCTAGGTACTGTGATAATATTGTTACTATACCTCTTGGAGTACAGGTTCATTGGAAGAAGGTTCCTATGCATCATACACAGCATCCATCTCTGAGATGAATATTCCTCTACACTCCTCCCTCATCATGGTACAAACATCATCATATTTCTTGACTGTACCTAGACAATGCATCAAAGCTCTGGTATGCAGACTCTCAGCTCATTCTCCACAGCCTTTTATCCCTCAATGAACTTAACCCTCCAAACTTTTCTACTTACCTTGAACTGGTTTTGTTGGTTCCACCAGTCATGCTGCTGGAAGCCAAACTACAGCCAAGATCGAGTAACTGACAAGGCCTGGGTGTCTGGAGGAATTTCCTGCAGAGATCAAAGTTGGATGACATTCAGCTCTAGTTTCTAATCTATACCCGGCCTCAAGTTCCCCCTACTGGGTATACTTTTCTTATGCAGAGGACTGTGCCTTCCTTTGATGCTTAGAAAGCCTTCCTCTTTGCCATGTATCTTTAGCTCTTTGTTTAAAACTTCTGATTCTGTACCTCCTCCAGTTTATTGTCTCCTTGGGAGACACCATTTCAACAGTCTACACATCATACTTACCTGGAGAAGAGGTTTCCATTGGTGGCTAGTAGCGTGGCTGGATAGGAACAGAAAGGTAAAAACAAGTTAAAAAGAAAATTAAAAACACCTGTGTTGTTTCTTAGGCCATAAAATAGCTCCACTCTTCACCTCTGTTATTACTGCAGGCCAGCTCAGTGGTACAGAGTTTGGGAATCTCAGTATCATCTAACACAGCCTAAGAAGCGCAGTGGACATGTCAAGTAAACACCCAGCCTGTAGTCTGAACTTACAATCTGTAACTGAGATCTAGTCAAGGAACTCTCTGACCTAAGCGTGGGGGTCACTCAGATCTTTAGGGTCTTGTTCCTGCCCATCATATGGGTCTCTTACAAGTCTCTGGAGATACTGGAAAGAGATAGTTCTTCTATCTTTTATTTAAACCCTTATCCTCTGTAGCAAAATTTACCCCTTAACACCACTTCTTAGGGATGGGGATATAGTTCAAGTGATAGAGCATTTGCCTAGCAGAATGAATCACTGGATCTGATACCCAATATTAAGAAGATAGAGTAGAAGAGGAGGAAGAAGCTCTCAAACTTCTTTGGCTCTTTGGACTGCTAACAAAGAAAGAAATCACAAAGGAAAATATATAGCAGATTTTATGGTACTTTGATATTGTCTCCTCAACCACCATAAAAAGACTGTCAGAAATCATAACAGGCAGGTGAAGAAATGTTTCTAAATCTGGAACACTTTCTGTGTTTATCCCATTTCACAACAAACAAACAACAAGAAAACCAAACTATTCTTTCCATCCAGAAGAACCCAAGATGACTCTGATTCTTCATTAAGTTTCTGCTTCACCGTGGTCTTAAATCATAGCACATGATCCGTCTGCACTGATTCCAACCTCATACAGCTGTGCCACTCACCCTCCGCTCCAAGACTCAAGTCATCTTCAAAGCTAGTTCCATGGCTAGAGTACCCTGCCAAAAACGTCACAGAAAAATTGCAGAAAATAAAGTCAGAACATAATACAAATACACGCACACACACACACACACACACACACACACACACACACACAAATGCACACTTGAACATGTCCAAGGACATGACTTATATAACTACACAAACATGCTAGATATCTTTATGTTCACAAATATTCTCCCAGCTTTATGTCAGCAATCACAGTTATATTTTGATTAAGAATTATATACATTCATGTGTAATTTATCTGTGTACTTTGCCACACATAATCATAACCATGCACACAATCTTCTGCCAAGTAGTTAACAAACGCAGGTGTGTGACCACCCTTAGGGACACACAAATATAAATTCACAAAGTTCACAAGGTTCTTCTCCAATAGTAGTAATCTATGAATATTAGAATCATTTCCTTTGTGGTAGCACTTCTTTTTGGACTTTCTAAACTGTTCTCTAACAAACAAATGGTATTTTTCAGAAACTAAAGACACTCATAATCTCAAGCATACACATAAATATAGTTGTGTAAACACACACATACACTCACACACACACACACACACACACACACACACACACACCTGCACAGCATCCAAAAAAAAAGAAACTAGAGCAGCTCACCACTGCAGTTGGATTGCCCTGTTTCTTCAGAAAGTCCCTCCTCAGTGTCTCTAAAACCAAAAGAAAAAAAATTACATTTTCATGCCTTTCTTCAAATATCTCCCACATGTTCATATAATTTTCCAGTGATAATTAGCACTACTGAATTTGCTTTCACACTGAAGACAATTAGGCTCTGACTCCTTGACTGGCAGGTTCATAGAAGGAGTGATGAGGGCCTGAGATTGCCGTATGTTGTATTTCCTAAACGTGCTACTGTTGTTAAGGCTGCATACCCTGAAATTGGTTTTGTAATGGTTCATCAGTCTTTATCAAAATAAGAAAAAAATACAGAAGCAAAACTGGGGAAATATGTTATTAGAATAGAGGTTTTTGATGCCATGATATCTATTACTTCCTAGTGATCTAATAGCTAGAATTTGACAATATCTGACGTCCTAATTTTTTTTTGCCTGATTGCTTTTTTTTTCTTTTTTTGTTTATTAAGGATTTCTGCCTCCTCCCCGCAACCGCTTCCCATTTCCCTCCCCCTCCCCCGATCAAGTCCCCCTCCCTCATCTGCTTGAAGAGCAATCAGGGTTCCCTGACCTGTGGGAAGCCCAAGGACCGCCCACCTCTGTCCAGGTCTAGTAAGGTGAGCATCCAAACTGCCTAGGCTCCCAGAAAGCCAGTACGTGCAGTAGGATCAAAAACCCACTGCGATTGTTCTTGAGTTCTCAGTATTCCTCATTGTCCGCTATGTTCAGCTAGTCCGGATTTATCCCATGCTTTTTCAGACCTAGGCCAGCTGGCCTTGGTGAGTTCCCAATAGAACATCCCCATTGTCTTAGTGTGTGGGTGCACCCCTCGTGGTCCTGAGTTCCTTGCTCGTGCTCCGTCTCCTTCTGCTCCTGATTTTGACCTTGAGATTTCTGTCCGGTGCTCCCATGTGGGTCTCTGTCTCTGTCTCCTTTCATCGCCTGATGAAGGTTAATATTCATGAGGATGCCTATGTGTTTGTCTTTGGATTCACCTTCTTATTTAGCTTCTCTAGGAACATGAATTATAGGCTCAATGTCCTTTATTTGTGGCTAGAAACCAATTATGAGTGAGTACATCCCATGTTCCTCTTTTTGGGTCTGGCTTACCTCACTCAGGATAGTGTTTTCTATTTCCATCCATTTGTATGCAAAATTCAAGAAGTCATTGTTTTTTACTGCTGAGTAATACTCTAATATGTATATATTCCATACTTTCTTCATCCATTCTTCCGTTGAAGGGCATCTAGGTTGTTTCCAGGTTCTGGCTATTACAAACAATGCTGCCATGAACATAGTAGAGCATATACTTTTGTTGTATGATAAGGCCTCTCTTGGGTATATTCCCAAGAGTGGTATTGCTGGGTCCAGGGGTAGGTTGATCCCGAATTTCCTGAGAAACCGAAACACTGCTTTCCAGAGTGGTTGCACAAGTTTGCATTCCCACCAGCAATGGGTGAGTGTACCCCTTTCTCCACAGCCTCTCCAGCAAAGGCTATCATTGGTGTTTTTGATTTTAGCCATTCTGACAGGTGTAAGATGGTATCTTAAAGTTGTCTTGATTTGCATTTCCCTGATCGCTAAGGAAGTTGAGCATGACCTTAAGTGTCTTTTGGCCATTTGAAGTTCTTCTGTTGAGAATTCTCTGTTCCGCTCAATGCCCCATTTTATAATTGGGTTGATTAGCCTTTTACGGTCTAGTTTCTTGATTTCTTTATATATTTTGGAGATCAGACCTTTGTCAGTTGCGGGGTTGGTGAAAATCTTCTCCCAGTAAGTGGGTTGCCTTTTTGTCTTAGAGACAGTGTCCTTTGCTTTACAGAAGCTTCTCAGCCTCAGGAGGTCCCATTTATTCAATGATGCCCTTAGTGTCTGTGCTGCTGGGGTTATACGTAGGAAGTGGTCTCCTGTGCCCATGTGCTGTAGAGTACTTCCCACTTTCTCTTCTATCAGGTTCAGTGTGTTCGGACTGATATTGAGGTCTTTAATCCATTTGGACTTGCGTTTTGTGCATGGTGATAGATATGGATCTATTTTCATTCTTCTACAGATTGACATCCAGTTTTGCCAGCACAATTTGTTGAAGATGCTCTCTTTTTTCCATTGTATACTTTTAGCTCATTTATCGAAAATCAGGTGTTCATAGGTTTGTGGGTTAAAGTCAGGGTCTTCTATTCGATTCCATTGGTCGACTTCTCTGTTTTTATGCCAATACCAAGCTGTTTGCAATACTGTAGCTCTGTAATAGAGTTTGAAGTCAGGGATGGTAATGCCTCCAGACAATTCTTTATTATATAAGATTGTTTTGGCTATCCTGGGTTTTTTGTTTTTCCATATAAAGTTGATTATTGTCTTCTCCAGATCTGTGAAGAATTTTGATGGGATTTTTATGGGGATTTCATTGAATCTATAGATTGCTTTTGGTAGAATTGCCATTTTTACTATGTTGATCCTCCCAATCCAAGAGCAAGGGAGGTCCTTCCATTTTTGACGTCCTAATTTTTATATAACATATACAAAGGTCATTTTTTCAGTTTTTTGTCAGTTCACCATATCTACCCACATCCCTTCACTTTCCTAGCACCTAAACTCTTATTTGAATATCACATCATTCAGGAAACAGAAAAACTGCTTCCTGTTAGACAGTTTTAGGTTTTATAATGATGCCTTATCAATCATCCACCATCTTAAAAAACAGAAATCAGCATAACAGATAGTAAGAAACAGCACCAGTTTGACAAACAAAACAAATTCCCTTCCTCTGAAATTGGTAAGCAAAGTAATCTGTGTAAGAGCTGGGTACAATAAGGTGCCAAGCAAGTTTCAAGGGATGAAAAGCAACCAACATTCCTCCACAGCTATGGTGCATATGAACCACAAGGACCAGCATTATAGGATAACCCTAGTAATACAGTAGTGGCACACATATCTTAGCAGTATTCAATAGTTCTGTAATTGGACATGAGACTGCTCAACAAGAGGGAAATCATCTCTGGTACTGGAAACCTATCCAGCCACCTAGGGCTGGTGAAGTTATGGATTGTGGAGGAAAACTTACAATCATTGCTTTACTTAATCATCATAATCTCTACTTACACTCTAATTATTTGTCCTTATATCCATAAGTATAATCATCAAGTCTCATCAACAAAACTCTTGTTTGCAAATGATGGAGACTATTGCAGAAAACTGCAACCAATAAAGATGCAGAGTTTTGGATCCCAGTCCTAACTAATATCACTAAACACAGCATCTACACCTAAGGGATGGGGCACAAAGATTGTAAGAGCCAGAGGAACAGGGAGCTTTCTGTAAGATTGTGTCTTCTATGACTGCCAGAAGCTATACACATAAAGCCTCATCAACATGACTGTCTAAGCATGGATTGAACAAGGACACTGATAGACATGCTAAAGACGGAGGAAAGCCCATGAAACCTCAACCGTACATAAAGACCAACTAAGGAATGCTGAGAGTGGGGAAAACAGTTTTTCCTGGGAAGGAGCACAACAAATTGTCTTCCAATATCATGATCCAATATCCAAAGATTTTCCCTGAAAATATACATACAAGTAATATTACAGATGAATCGTATTATATTTAAAAATATGTGTATATACTACATAAATATATTAAATTACCCTTCAAGAACAAAAGTAAGCAAGTTTGCAGGCTTCTTTGTGGTATATAGTAAATTGTTTTCAAGAAAAGAGGTAATACTATCTTAAAGTCTCTCAACTCTTCACGGGTTTGAAGTCCCTGAGCCTTTCCTGTGTTCTGCTACTGAGGAGGAACGGTCCACCTCCAACTCTTTCATTTTTGCCACACCACATAAAACTGCAATCAGAATGGGAAAAGCGAGTGGGTGGGGGCTGTCACTCATCCCTGGACTTCTAAAAAGAGGCCAATTTCTGTCTATTCTTAGCTCTATCCCAGACCTATCATGGATTCTCAACCAGTTGAACTGTATCTCAGTTCTGAGTTACATTTGACTCACAGCCTGGATCACCAACTGATCCAAGACCTAAGTCTCTTCATCATGCCTGCACACCAAATTGATTCTCACTCTTTTCCTGTCTCTGAGTTCACAAGGACTGTGTCCACCATCACAGCCATCCACCAGCCACATCTTTGCTTGAGAACTTACCCACAGCCCTGCAGCCAGTCCTCAATCTTATTGATTGGATTTCCTAGAAAAAGCAGACACTGGTTATTGTGAAACTGAAAAAAAGCACACCGCCTCAAACAACTCAGGGCATTCAGCAAGCTATCTTCACAAAAGCCACAAAATGGCTCCTTTTACCTATGGAGGGGAGATATGAAAGGGATGCATTCATATGTAAAGATGATGTATATGTCTCCTGCCTCTGCCTCTCTTCTATCTACCTCAGAAAATGGCAAGTTCCCAGTGTCCAGGCTACCATGCTTCTGCTTTCTTTTCCCAAAGATTGGCAATAGAGATGGTTCCTTTGCAAAAAAAAAAAAAAAAAAAAAAAAAGAAATGAAGAATGGTAGGGAGGGATACAGGAAGAAAGGAAGGAAGGAAATATCAGAAGAGGACAGCCCTAGGTTTTTGTTTTCTGACAAATAAAAAAGGATGGGTTTATGTGTCCAAAAGTTTTTGTTTCAGCCTACATTTCTGGTCTTTCTCTTTGTACTTCAGCTAATATGGGTATGTGAGAAAGAAACCACTGCTTCATTGAGCAAAGAATCTTCAGAGAGACTTCTCAACAGTCACACAGTTGCCAGAGTTGCAGCCTGAATCGGGGCATAGACTGTATGTAGTCTTGTTACACAAGTAAACTTAATTCCCAACAAACTCTCTTCCTTTGACTCTCACAGAAGATTCTCACGATGGTGCGAATGTGTTCCTTCCTGTTTCCTAAACATATGCCTCCCTCTTCCTCACATAATTCGTTTTTCATATTACACTACACCTCTCCCTTACACTCTTTGAAATGAGCCTCTGTCAGGTCCTACTTTAAACTGAGGCCACTTTCCAGCCTTTGCAGACTTCTGAAAGACACAGAGGATATCTGTGTGATGTCCAGCAGCTTCTTACCTTCCTGGAAAACATCATCCAAGCTGGAAGGCTCGGGATCCAGTGCATCCTGCAGGGCAGCTGCAGCCTCCTCTTCCAGGACCTGGGTTTGCCAGTTACGACTTTGTTGTAACCATGCTCTTCGTTTCTCCCAGGATGTGGGGCTCAGCACTGATGCTTCCATGGTCCTGGGCCACTTTCAGGCCTTTCCACCACACTGACACCCTCCTGGAAGATGAAAAACAAGGAAAATCTTTCACCCTCTATTCAGAATCCACTCCTATCAAGGTGACTCCCAATTTTCTGTCTGTACAGAGAGTCTGTTCTATTTGCCTAACTGGGAAAGAAATTATGCATAGCCATTTGCTGTTTCAACCCATCCACTACCACCACCAAAAAAAGGGAATGCCCTGAAAAATCTAAGTACCAGGTCAAGGCTTTCAAGTCAGTGAGTCTAAAAGCTTCAAACATCACAGGAGTTTGAGGCCACTGAGGAAACTTTTTCAACTTAAGGTATCTTTATTTTTCATGGTAACTGAAACACATTTCTTTTTTTTGTTTTTTTTATTTTAATTTATTTATTTATTAAAGATTTCTGTCTCTTCCCCGCCACCGCCTCCCATTTCCCTCCCCCTCCCCCAATTAAGTCCCCCCCCCCCCCGCCTCAGCCCGAAAAGCAATCAGGGTTCCCTGTCCTGTGGGAAGTCCAAGGAACCCCCACCTCCATCCAGGTCTAGTAAGTTGAGCATCCAAACTGCCTAGGCTCCCACAAAGCCAGTGCGTGCAGTAGGATCAGAAACCCATTGCCATTGTTCTTGAGTTCTCAGTAGTCCTCATTGTCTGCGATGTGAAGAATGGATGAAGAAAGTATGGAATATATACATATTAGAGTACTACTTAGCAGTAAGAAACAAGGACTTCTTGAATTTTGCATACAAATGGATGGAAATAGAAAACACTATCCTGAGTGAGGTAAGCCAGACCCAAAAAGAGGAACATGGGATGTATTCACTCATATTTGGTTTCTAGCCACAAACCAAGGACATTGAGCCTATAATTAGTGATCCTAGAGAAGCTAAATAAGGAGAACCCAATGAAACACTTTTCTTAAGGCATGTTTGTTAGCTCATACCTGTAGCTCTAGAACTCAGAAGGCTGAGGCAGATGAATCTAAACTACAGCTCAACATCTCCCTGTTTCAAGACATCTCCCTGTTAAATTGTATTTAAAAATTGTTTTTTTTTTATTTTTAAATTTTTGCTTCTCAAAACTTACCATTGCAACTAAAATATTTGAGGGACTGAGGAGATGCCCTAGTCAGTTAATTGCCCGGCACACAAACATGAAGACCTGAATTCAAATTCCCAGCACCCACATATAAACCAAGTATAGGGGTAGATCTATAATCCTAGCTATGGATACAACTGGTAGGATCATTCCCTGAAGTTTGCTTGTTGGGTAGACAACCTAGTCAAATCAGTTAGCTTTAAGTTCCGTGAGAAACCCTATTGAAGATGGATCCTATAAAGTAATCCCATACTAGTTCAGAATTGAGTATAATAAAGAATTCTTCATTCAGGAGTAGTCTCACAGATCATGGTCCTCTGCGTGAATGGAGAACAGGAACCAAATCCAGAAGCTGAGAGAGAGAGTGTGCAAGCTTTATGGCTGCATTTGTAGTATAAGAGACCATGACTGGGCTGGTGTCTTAAAGTCTATTAGCTGGAGGAGTTCCCACAGCATGCCCCCATGTTGTCTAAATAAGAGAATTCTAAGCTGAATGCAAAACTGTATACAATAAGAACAAATATAAAGTATAAACATTAAAATTACAACCAGTATAAACAATATCAAACAACAAACATATGCTAAATGTTTCAATAATTATCCTTTCCTAAGGAGTCTAAGCTTGTATTAGAAATGGCTTGGCAAAGTCATGAGAGGAAAATAACTATGGCTATCTAGTCTTCAGCCCCATCAAAAACATGAGAGGAAATAATATTACTTGAGTAAACAGGAAGTACAATCAAGCAACTTCCAAAATGTGCAGCAAATGACAGAGACAACTGGTTACCCGGGTAATCACCCAAAGTCTGATTTGCAATGTTGGAGCAACCAACTTTGGCTAAGGCCTAGAGTAACTGACAGATAATTTTCAGAGGCAGGAAAAATTTCAGAACCATCTTAGTCTGCCCTGGTAAGGTTTGGAAGTCTTTTTTCTTGTATCCTGCTTGTCCTGTTCAGACACCATGTGCTTTGTCAGTGGTCAAGGCACTGGCAGTTCCTTGCCCAAAGGGCAGTTTTACCAAGAAGAAAACAAGCTCCAAGTGGAGCGTCTTAAATGCCCAACATTCTCTCAGGTATAGATTGGTGCTGCCAGGAGCAATCATGTCTCATGTCAACAGAACCCTAAGTTTTTTTAAATGCCATATTCTATAGTTCTTTGAAGTTGTTAAAGATTACCTATCTATGTGGAATATAATTGATGGAGGAAGGTCATTGGTTAAGTAATAGAGAAACTGCTTGGCCTCATAGGTTAAAACATAGGTGGGAGGAGTAAACAGAACAGAATGCTGGGAAGAAGAGGAAGTGAGCTCAGACTCGACAGCTCTGCTCTCTGGAGCAGAGACGCCATGCTCCCCTCTCCCGGGCAGACACGATAGCTCTGCTCTCTGAGGCAGACGGCAATGCAGCCAGCCACCAGGTTAGACATGCTGAATCTTTCCTGGTAAGTACACCTGGTGGTGCTACATAGATTATTAGAAATGGGTTAAGAGGCTGAAACTAATGGGCCAGGCAGTGTTTAAAAGAATACAGTTTGTGTGTTGTTATTTCAGGGCATAAGCTAGCCAGGTAGCCGGGGTGCCGGGGATGCAGCCCCGCCGCTCAATCTTTATGTATCTAAAGAATTTGATTAGTCTAATTATATGTGACAAACATGTATGACCATTGACATATAATTATTAATACTTCTATAGCTTAAAAAGTAAGGGCTCATATTAGAATATTAAATAATCTTTAAGGAACTGTGCAGCAAATGAGGACAATGACCTTGAAATGCAAACGATGTATAAGTATCTGGATCAGAGGTAGAAATGTATACTGAAATGTGATAAATATATCCTAAAACTGTATCAATGTACAAAATGTCTTAAGTAGATATATATACATGCATGCATATAATATGAACAAAAGAACTTTGCCTAGGTGTACAAATATTGTAAACAGAAATAGAAGCATATTCAATATAACAAACATAATTTGAATTTGTATCAATATACAAGAATCTATACAAATATAAATGGTCTTCAAATAATAGCTCACAAGTATTTATTCTATAACACCCTATTATTATTAGTGTGAATACACTCACACTAATCTACTTATTAACCCATACAATTTCTCCCCTTTTTTTCAAAGAAGATCCCTGAGCCTAAATAATTTCCACCCCAACCCCCAACCCTATACCAGTTATAATGAACCCATAATTGATGTCCCTAACCCTGAGGACAAACTTTGTTGGGAGAGGGGAGGTTGTATTCTAGAATTGCTTCCAGCTGTCATGGGGGCAATGTTCTTTCTATGGGATTTTGTAAAACTAAAATGATGGTTAAGTTTCAAGATTACTTTCTGGAATAATTGCAAATAGTCTCTGAATATTTGGTATGTTTTTCTGAAGTTCTGGCCAGAACATTGTAAGAAGGTGCACCATTTCAGCTAGCCAAGTGGGAATCATTTTGAGCAGCTGGCACCCAAAATTGATCTTAAAGTAGTGCTAAAAATGTCATGACATCATACCAATGAGGTAGAATCATTGTTCTGGGGTCTCATCTTCTTCTTGGAAACTGCAAAGATTACTGCAGAAAAATTTATTGTTCATTGTGGAAAACTTAAACATTAATCATATAAAAATACATTCAATAAAAAAATTCTGGTTGAGTCTTCAATATGGTGAACATCTAGTTACTCCTGGACCAGCTGTTCTAAAGTCTGCAGTTTCTCTTCTGTTAAAAGCCATTGTTTAACCCATATTTGTTTCTTAGCTAACTTTTTTAAAGGTTGGGCCATGATACCTCTGAAGATTTGCTAGTTGCTGTGTGTTCTTGTACAGCCTGAATAGTTGTTGACCTTTGTTTATAGCACCCTATAATATCCTTCTGCAAAACATCTTAATCTGGGTATTCCATTGCAGGTCACAATCCCACAAATTCACTGTAATATTATCCACATATGGCCTCAGCCTTTCTCTCTGTCCTTCTAGCCTTATGCATTCAACCTACCTCTTGCTTTGTTTCACTTGAGATAGAGTTCCAATTTCTAGGAATTGAATATCTGCCTCTTGAAGAGGCCAATTCGGATGCCAAGATTCTGGAATAATGATAGTTACATCAACACCTGTGTCCACTAATCCCTCAATTATGTTGTTATTTATATACACTCTTAGCTTTGGTCTTTTACTATTTATAGAGGTCTAAAAATTATGCTTCCTATTTCCTATTGGAATTTTTTGATTCATCCTCAATGTTTATTCCATCATCCAGAACAGTATGGTTTTTTTTTTTGTTTTTTGTTTTTTTGTTTTTTTACAGCAGACAATGGATTTTTAAAATTTTCCTGGTGGGGTATGTTCTCCACATTAACTGGGAATGACTAGACCACATTTGACTTTGGGGCCTGAGAGAGGCTCCACAAGGGGTTTCCTGAGGGTATCAGGTTGCCTTGATTGTCTTCTGTTGATCCAATTGGCCTTTGCCACATCTTCTGCATAATCCAGAACACTGAGAGTTTCTATTCTTGCCATTCCCAGAGAAGACATTATTTCTAGAAATTCCTTGTATACAATCCACTGTCAGATTTCCTATTCTACCGCAGTTAAAACATTTGGCAGTTTGATGTCTTCTCATAACTTTGGAAATTGCTTCTCCTACCTAAGCCTCAGTAATATAGTCAAATGTTTCAATGTTCACTGTATGCAGGATCCATTAATCCAATGGTGCTGATCTAACCTTTAAAGATCTAAGTATCTTTTTGCATTCTAAGTTGGAATTTTAAGAAGCCAGAGATTCAATAAGTACTTGTCTAGCTTCTGTGTCTGTTACTCCTATTTGTACAGCCTTGGTTAATCTTTGTAAGAAGTAATGAAAGGGTTCTCTTTGTCTCTGTTTAACCATAATATAAGATTCC